TCGAGTGAAAATTACACTATGTGAGAAACAGAAAATGCTCATCCAAAACCAGTCCCATTTTCTCAAAACAAACAAGCAATAGCCCCAAAACCCACTCCTGGCCCTCTTTTCCCAGGATACACCGTTATTACTTCCATTTCTCAACCATGGTTCACTTCTAGTACAAAAATTGTGTTTCCAGTGACAACAGTACACAGCAACTCCATTCAGCAGCCTCGTGTAGGTAGCAGGTGTCTTAGCAACTGTAACTGGAAGGTGCACATCTGTAAACCCACACGCACAAGTTGTGATGGGGGAGTGGTGGCCGGGTATGTCCCGGGGTGGGATGTAGTTGCCCCTGCTGACAGATGCAGGATTAACACCGTCCTCGTGCTTTCTGTAACTAGGCTGTCACTGTGGTTCTACTGACTGCCGTGAAACTCTGATTCAGTGCACTTCCATGATGTGACCTTTATCCCGGTCCTTCTCAGAAACGAGTATTAGCTAGCAATGTGTGCGGGAATTCAACCCCGAAGCCTTTACAATCTGTTTAGGTCTACAGATTGCATAACATTAGTCTTCTCTGTGTTCTTTGAGGCTGTAAAATTTATTGAACAGTATTTCATCGTGTATGTGCTCGGGTCTGTATAGATAAGGATGGCCAGAAAAACAACGAAGGGAAACATACGCTTTGTACTGGAGTTTCATCTATTGCATATTGTGGCAAAAATGGTGTCTTGGTGAACATACTGTACTGGTGCTGAACTTTCATTTCATTAAATGAAATGCCCCATATGGTGCAAAATGCTGCTGCTCTGCTTGTTTGTTTTGCATACGCTTCTTACACCCTCTTCTTTCTGATACTGTATGGTGGTGGGAAAGGTGTTAAGTTGGTTAATTTAAAATTTCTGATTTATAACGCCAGATCTGCATTTTGGCAGATAAATGTTTGCATCCATAAATAATTAAACTTACAGTTTTTCTTAGGAATGAATTGATTGACTATGTCTTAATATTTACATCTGTAACTTTGTGTTTGCAAGGACAAACGTGAAGGCTGGGCTGCAGGTTGGCTGGAAATCTGGTCTTGCATATTCTATGAAAAATATTACTCACATTTCTCACAGGTGAATAAACTGCATGCATGGATGAATCTAGTTAATTCAATGGTTTAATAAACCTAGAATCCCAGTGAGGCTATAACAAATCCCCCTGGCGTCTTGGAGTTATGAGAAAGATGTATAAAATTATATGCAAGCAGAAGAGCTCTTTCTAAATTTGAGGAGTCTTTTGCACATTATTTTTTTGTTCCGTTCACTACATGAAATAACTTTTTATCTGTGGCTCAGTCATGATAAAGTATTAGATCAATTATCGTTTGAAGGCAATATTGGGGTCAATTTGCGTCTGACTAGATTTTTTTTTCCTTTGGCTAGTTTGTTTTTGAAACAGTTATGTAGCACTAAGAGAGATGCCTCTCTCTTAATGTCCCTTTGAGAAAGTTGGCTAGCTTGAAGTGGAAATTTCTGCAGCTCCCTTCCCAGGGAGCAGCACCTTGTCATAAGCTGCCCCATTTTCAGATGTTAAACCATGTGGATCCTGGATCAGAACCAATTCTCTAGTTAGAAAGACAGGAATTGCAAGCTGACTAGGACTGACTGATTTAGCAAAATAACTGGAACTAATATAACTGCATAAATTTAATTATGAATGCTAGGTTTAAGGTCATTGTACTCTGAGCTATAATCTGGACAACTAAGCCATGTTGAAGCCTGGTCAATTCTTGGATGCTAAGCCTTCCAGGAAAGAAATACCATACAGGAAATAATAATTCCTCAGTAGGTTCCTTTTGCTGTGCTTTGATATGAACCAAAATCCTAGGTTAGTGATCGTGTTGCTCTTGTGATTTTTTCAGTATCATGTATGTGTTTGCTATTTTACAGGCATTCGCAGGGACAGGATACCCACTCCAAGAAACCTAGAATATGTTGGAAGGGGTATATATTTTCAGGTGAAAAATAAAGCAGATACCGTGACTACATGTTATCATGGAAGGATCCTACTGTATCTTCAGGAAAAGGAGTCTGTTGTTCTTCACAGCTTCTGAAATGGGGAACAGGTTCTGCCTTCGTTTTCCACTGAATTAAATAAAAAAGCAGGTAAAGCAATGCTGAGTGATGTAAATCTCCTCCTCTCTCAAAGATGCACACATAATGTTACAAATATACTTGGAATACAGCAGCAGGAACTTATATTCAAAATTTTCAATTAGTGGAGTTCCGTGGAATTCAGAGGAAAAAATAATGAAGCTGAAGAAAAGGATGATTGATAAGAAAAATTTCCACTGAATGTACTCCTGTATAAAACTGTAATTTTATTAATAGGTGAGGGAGGATAAAATGCACGAACTGGTAGCTAAATACATGGAAAGCCATATACTCTGCCCTGGTGTAGAAGATCGTAAGTATATAAAATTGGAATGCAGCTGAATTGATTGCGATCCGATATTCATTATATTTCAGCACTGCTGGCAGAATCCCTTCTCACCAAACGTGCATAACATGCTTTCTTAGCACTTTCACAAAGCCTTGAGTTTATAAGGACAGTTAAAGTGCATCTTTTCCAATAATTACACAATCTGAATTTGGTCTGTGCTAATAAGCTTTAAGAAAACTTAAATTCCACATTTTAATATTAGAAATCCACTTAATTGTAGGTAATCTCCGGCTCTGCATGTCACCTGTATTGGCATTTATATTCCTCATTGAGTCTGCAATATAATTTTCTGTTTATTGTCGTGAACGTCCTTCTAATATATACCTGCAATCTCATGTAGGCCGTGGCTGGCAGCCAGCCAAGCTCTTAATTTGTCTTTGCCTTACCTTACTTAGCCCACCGAAAGAGAGTGGCAGTGTGAACAGCAAACATTCTACGCGAAAGGCCAAGGTGACAGCCTGAACAAGCACCAGCTTGTTGTCTTCACCATCATCATCTTCATAGGATTCTCTTAGAAATAAAGACCTGATTTGCCTACCCGTTTCTGGAGGCTGGGTACTGGCCTGCAAAACTTGCTTCCTCAGCGGAAAGAGCTTGTCCAAGAAGGCAGTGCCCTAAATTCTGCTCTGTTCACCATTTGGAAGAGGCAGCCAGGTAGAATTTGTTTCTCTCAGGAATTTTTCTTTTGCTGATTAGTTGTTTTCCATGCTAGGCTATAATGTTGGTAAAATATTTATAGCCATTATGATGAAAATTGCCAGGAAACGAATTCATACAGTCTTGCTACCTTTTGATTTTATTTTTTTTTTTCCCAGGACTTTGAAACACTGCTGTGGTTTTGGCTTGCCTCTCTATTCTTGCTACCCTTTTCTGTCACACTCAGTAATTGGCCTAATAAAAGGCAGAAACAAGAATTTATTACACCTTGGGCAATACTTGAAACAAACTTTATTTGCTGGAGCAGCACTTTTTATCTACTCGCTGCTGTATATTTTGACATTCCTTCTAAATATTAAATTTGACTTTATTAAAAAATAAATCTTGGCTTTTCTTGTGATTGCTGCTGGTTTTGCAGTTTCTTAGGCAGAGTAGTACATATATAAACATATCATTTTAATGAAGCTTTTGGAGAAACAATATAAGCTGTGGCTATATCTACTTCATTACTGCCAGGATCCACAAAACCAGTAGGAATTAAAGACTAGCTTCTGTCATACCTTGTAAATTAGTCTTGGAATAATTTCTGTGATGAATTGAGAGAACAAAGATGAGAACTCTTCAACTTTTCATACCTCTTCCAAGCTTGGGATTTGATGAAATCTTCCTCAAACAAATGATGCCCTTTACGTTTAAAACTGTTTGCAAAAATAATGACAGTAGTAAAAATAAAACCAGGTTAGATTGTGATGATGTAATTTCCACTGTTGGATCTGTTTTTCTTCCACATGCTAGGTGGTAAAATGATCAAACCTCTTTTGTTTTCTAAAAAGGCCTTAAGAAATAGCAATACGTCATCCTGGAACTGTTTATGCAGGAATTTTTATTCTTTGAAATCTTCCAGTGTTAAAGCAACAAGAAAACATTTAGAATGTCCTTTGGTGGAATCTTATTACACTCGTTATATATGTAAACTGATATTCTTTGATGCCAGCACGTTGCCCATACAGAGAAATCTCTGCACAATTAAATGAAAGGAAAAAGAAAAGGACTAAATAAAAAGTCATATTTTTCTCTTATCTGATTAGAATTAAATACGTTAACAAATTGTCTGGTAACACAAATAGGCAATAATACAAAAAATCTACATTGTACATTATTTCAAGAAAAATAACTTCATTTGAATACAAAAGGATAAATACACTTTTTGTCCTATAGCCACTCTTGTACGGTAGGTGAACACAGCATCTTACTGATGCAGTGCTGCTAAGGTATACAAGGATATGACTGGCTTGAGTTTTATTGAGGGGGCTGTTACACATGTGCGTCACTAACATCAGACAAAGAAATCTTTCAACCGACAAGGGTTACAGAGCAACGTTCACTAAAGCACAGGTTGGAAAGGATTCGGGGACTGAAGCAGGCCAATATGGCAGCTTTTACAGATTTCCTTATACCCACAATGCACTGACAGCAAAGAATGCCTTTATTTGGTCGGTCCACACGCCGGGCGGAGGTACAGTAGCGCACCATATAGGAGTAGCAAATGTTTTTTAAATTCTCTTCCCCTTCTGGGGGCTGTCAAAGCCGTTTCGGTCCTGTGTAAGCTTTGCAGCTAGCACTGATTTGACAGAATAGGCGGCTGCCCGCTTCTCTCGAGTCAGAGGTGAAGAGTCTTGACTCAGAGCCCTGTCCGTAACTGATTAATATGGCTTAGTTCAGTTAGGCCTTCTTAGTTTGTATGTGGCTAGTTTTTCTCTCTTTTTTCCTTTTTAAATTTCAGCAGCAAACGCTTGGATTTTGTTTCGTTTTCATGTGGCACGTTCATCTGAAGCAGTCTGAATGCGATGCCATCGACCATACGGAGTCTAGCGTATGCAGAGTCCAGCCGCTCCTAGTAGAGCAGTCAGCAGTAATAGAGGCCCGGGTGATATTGCCCCCTGGCCGGAGTTTTGGCTGCAGCCTCCTGGATCCCTTTCACACTTCAGCTTCTCGCATAAAATGCCAGTGTAAGCCGGAGGGCACTGGCATCGCACATTGTTGATGCATGTTCCTCCGTTCTGGCAATGCAGTAGTTCGTTGTCGCACACGTTTGCTGCAAGACAGCAGGGGAGGGAGGGAAAGAAAAGCAGAATAAATATAAGTTCATCTACAGGAGAAACTCTGCCCTAAAACCAGAATTAAAACGCTACCTCCCCCCTCTTCCTGAGACATGTAAACAGGGGATGTGGTTTTTTTAAACACTTCAAGTTTGAATTTTTTACTTTATTTGATATTTTTTTTTTTTTTTAGGCTGTAGTCTTGGAGAACCGTATCATTCGCTTCAGACCACTGACTATGATAATATTAATTAATGACTATAATATGAATAATGATTAATAATGAAATAATATGAATATTAATACCTGCCTTGTGCCAGTGTCTGCATTTTTATAGTTACTACTGAACTGGAACTGTAGGTGCGTGTGTTATTGTTTGAAAGGGGCAACGTATCTAGAGCTTTTGGCAAGCATGAGCAGCGGTTAAAAATGCAGCATGGCTTTGCTGAAGTAAAAAGAGCTGTATGAGAAGGCAGGGTTTTATAATCGAGAACTGCATGTATTAATGATCTGAAAAAATTGCACAGAAAAGATAAGGCAAGCACAGGCAGGAAATTCAGCATGCTATTCGGTGGGGATTATATGGTATATACATACGGAAATAAAAGATAATGTTATTTCCATTACAGATCAAATATTTCCTCTTAATTAGATTTGCTACTTTGGTACAAGGGTAACTGGCATCTTAAAACTATCTTATTTAGATGTTGTAGCCTGATACAGTAATTTCAGAAGTCAGATCTGACAAAAGAGTTGAGACAATAATACAGGCAAAAGTCTTCGAGCTGCGTAATACCACCGTATTTGAAAAATTGACAGCTTTACTTCATCTTACTTAATATCAATTGAAATATTTCACTGGGTAAATATGTAGAGATATGAGGAACATACTACTTAAACGTGTCAATCCGTGTCTTATTCCAGATGATATCACTAGTAGAGTATGTGCTAGATTACAGCTCTGTCTGCCATAGGAGAGGCAATTTTAGTAAAGATCTTGCCCCTACTATCTAGGCAGAGTGTAACAGTAAAAATTTTCGCTCAGAGAATTAGGGAAAAGATTATTTGGTTTAGAAGCAGACTCAACATTATATGCTGTTTATGCATACCTTAGCCTGCAAATACCCTAAAAAATTCAGAATAGGGAAAATATTGTTAATTTTACTTTAAACATTGCTATTTATTGCTACAAAAAAGTAGTTTTATAAATGTTAATTTACTTACTTTTAAAAACAACAACCCAAATATTACAAGAACTAAAATTGAAACAGTCCAAGTTCCAAAGTGATGCAGTTCTACACAAATCTGTACAATTTTGTGCACCAGCAACCTTACTGGTAATCTTCTCTGTCCTGGCGCGCTTTCAGAAAAATAATTTTCTCACTCTAGAAGGACTCTGACAACTGCTTTCTAACGTTCTGCATCCAAGTGGGCCAAATAATAACGCAGTGTGTTAGAAACTCATAGATGCAATCAAAAGAGAACAGTTAAGTAATTTTTTTCAGTGACTCCTTTAGCAATCAAAGGTTTTTCCTAAGAGCTATGGATTTAACGTTGTTGTCCAGGTTCTGAATTGTAATGTCAAAATTTGAATATTAGGTACAACAAACAACACGTTATTGATGACAGCCAGGTCTGAATTTTAATATTCTCTATATACATTACAAAAAATAGTGTTTATATTATGTAAAAGGAACAGTAAATCACCACCAAATATATGTGATGAGATTATCAACCCAGAAAAACAGAACGATAACAGGCCAAAAAAATGAACTGTACTTTAAAAGTCAATATTTGAGTTACATCTCTTATAACTGAGGCTATGTATCTTTAAAGCTGACCTTATTATTCATATTGTATATATTTAGCCGTATCAATATGCAAAATCAAAATACTTTTTATCTGATGGTACAGCTACTGAATCTGCTTGTTCTAGACTACTCGCTGCTGGGATGCTTCCTACAGCTCAGGCAATGAAAACGGTGGAATATCTGTCCCATCAATACCGACTATTGTTTGCCTTGAGCAACTGAGTGGAATTCAATAGCTAATTAAATACCACTTCTTAAACAGCAGATGAGCTATTTCTCCTCGTGTTTGGCCCGGAATATATTATCCAAATTTTCCCAAGTATTCAGTCAAGCAAATTTATTTTCCAATAGCTTTCCTATTTTTAAACCTATTTTGACAACTACAGCCGGTTATTTTGGGAGGCCGTCAGCCCGGATTCTGACCTGTAGTTACGGATTGCTGGAGATGGGTGGCTGAAGTGGCGTTTTGCTACGTGCCGGCTGTTCCGCCCGACACGCTGATGCGGGCTGCTATCAAGTGCCTCTAATCATTGCTGTCGACAAAATTCTGGACGCAGCGTTATAGATGCTGATTTTTAAATCAGCATCAGTTTATTTCTCATTAGAAAGTTTTAAAAATGTACTTAAAGAAGGGATGGATCAAAAGCTTCCCCTTCACTATTCTTGCGTGCTTTTAAAAGTTTGCCCACAGAACCGCATTCAAGTTAAAACGGGCAGATTTTAATGTTCTCAGCAAACTACTGTGTAGCTGAAAATTCTTGAATTGTTAATCTTGTATTGTCACAGCTGTCTTTTCCTTAGTTTCGTCCCTGTATCTCTTTCTCTTGCACACACACATGTACACACGTATATGTATCGTGTAGGTAGCAACTGTGATGATTTGGAAGTTAAATGAAACAACTCTGAAAATGTTATGAAATCCCATTATTTACTTTTTGCCAATTTTGTTTTAATTTTATTCTGACCAACTCTAATACCATTTCCACCTTCCCGAAAGCGTGGTCAGGATTACTTTTAAAACTTTAATATTAACTAATTATGTTTATTCAGTTTAGGAATTGGATTAGCTATAGCTAATGAGTGTAGCACATCAGCAGCATAAAGAAAAGTACTTTCACTGGAATTTAAAACAAAATTTATGCCTTAAACAAAAGTAGTCGACATGCTGCCAAGACCTAAGCAAGGCAAGTATATTAATTGTTGTTGAGAAAATTAACAATGTTTCTAACGTTAGCACAGTATTTTTCCAGGATACGTGTTATAACACGTTTTATTTCAGAAGAGGCTCTAGGCTTTACTCGGAGAAGGCAGTGACCGGGGAGCTGCTGAGCAGGGCAGGACGGGCCAGGACCTTGCAGACGCCTTGCTCCGTGTTGAAGCCCAAGGAGAATTGCTGCAGCTGGTGCTGGTGGGTGCAGGTCGGGCTGGTGGAGCCCCAGCCTGTGCCTGGCCCTCGGCCTTTTCGGTTCCCCAAGCAGCAGGAGCAGCGAGCCTGGCAATACGGGGCTTTCCTGCCCGTTGTACCCCTCCTACCTTCTCCTGCCTGCCGTGCCCTTGCCCCTTCTTATACTCCAAGCAGTGAAATGTTACCTCCACTGCTGAGGGGTGTTGAACCAGCTCTGCCTTATCTTCGTCATTAAAAGTAACAATAAGGAAAAATTAGTTTGAGTTAATCTGAAAGGCATCCGGTATCAAGTTCTGATCAAAGAATAAAACACCGAGAAGGGATGCAAGTAAAAGAACTAGTTCTGAAGTAATCACACATGACTATTAAGACTTGTGTGGCTGAACTAGCTGTGGGTTTGCTGGCAGATCTTCATTAATTAGAGGACAGGACATCAAACTGATCATTTAAGAAACAAAACAGAGATATCTGATTTGCTCTGGAGAGCTTTGCAGGCCTTTTTGGGGGATATTTCTGAGCACAGTCTTCAGATCTGCGCTACTGCGGGAAGTCAAATATTTAAAGTAAAATAAAGGAAGATTTTCTAATATTATTTTCATAATTCATCAGTTTACAATCTAAGCTATGGTCTGATTATGGGATCCATAAAACACTGTGCAAAGGAGACAGAAAGAATCCACATGTAAAAATGGATAGCTATCTAAAGCTTTTCTGTCCTTGGGGCAACCCCCCTTCCCCGCTCCAAACCAACAAACCCCTGCAATTAGTAAGAGAAATTATTATTTTTGAATTAAAATGTAAACATCTTTTCCAAAGTAATCATTAATAAAATACTGAAGCCTCTTTCTTAGGATAAGACTTCTGTGAACGATGATGAAAGATGCCTTGCTGCAAGTCACAAAATATTCTTGATTTATAATTCCAATGTTATTACATTTGTAAATGGAGTGAAAAAGGAAAACAAGGGGAAAATATCCAGTCTTTCAACCAGTTCAAGGGGTAAGTGATGTGCTAGTGTTTCATAGAATTTATACTGGGTATTTAATGAAATGTATTGAGAGTAGCATAGTTGTCTGACAAATGTCTACTTTGCTCTTAAATGTTCAAATCTGAATAATGCATGAAAATTTCTGAGTCTGTCCAAAACTCAACTTTAACACCCTTTCAGCTTCTTGAAAGAAAAGAGAGAGACAACTGTGGCTGATTTTAGTTCTGAAGCAGCAATACAGACACAGTAACACAAATGCGAGTCTTGTTTTTGATCTGGAGGGCCACCTCAGGCACAGCATTGTGCTGTTGGCTTACGTTCTTTCTGGTGACTGTGTCTGGGCAGCTTCAGAGCACACGCGCCGGGCTTTTGGTCTGCCTACTTATAAACAATACGCTGTTGGACTTAAACACGGTTTCTTTTAGCCTCCTGTCTTTCCCAAAGGCCATCCAAGAGGGGAGAAAATACATTTTGTACCTTTCTTTGTGCTACCTTAATTTTTGTGCAGCTTGCCTGCAGTAGCATCTTACTCAGGTGGGTCAGCCCCGTCACTATGAGAAAGGACAGGCTATTGACTTAAAAAAAAGAAATGAACGTATTCAAAAGGACACCTTTTTTGATCTGGGATAGGTGGTGTTCACTTTCTGCATCGAAATCTGGATTTATTATGAAATTTTCATTGTTTGTGGGAACAGCTTAAAGACCATTAATGATAAAGCCACAGAAAGAAAACTTTTTATTAGACGTCCTTGCTTCCTTTCTTGAATTCTGAAGTCTTTCATTTCAAGCAAT